ATAAATTGCGTACCTTAGACCCATGGGGGTGCCTCTCTTTTATAGTTACCTCAATCCTAATCCCAATAGAAGCTTGACTTCTATAGATTCATGTTCAGTACTTACTTTGGACTCCTCAAGAGATAAAGATAAACTCTTTAAGAGTTTTATCCTTATCTTGGCTAAATCTCCTCTTTATTCTAGGACTCTTGTCCCTTATCTTTTATCCGTTTATCTCGGATTCCGATATCTTCGGAGATAACCTCGGCCTAACCGAGATGACCTTGGCATATCGTCCAGGACACGTGGCACCTCGGCTGACACGTCGGCGTCACCTTGCCACGTATTGGTTCTCAAAAATACATCCCCACACATTCTCCAGTCCATAATCTAAATTTGAGGTTGTTATTTATACATGTGGTGTTTATCATGTGTCCTGTTTTGATAATTTAAATTAACGTTAATGGTTAAAAGTTAATTTTTTGAAAATGATTAAAAGTTAATTTTTTGATTTTTTTTAATATAACGTATAAAAAATATGAGAGATGATGTGATCTAAAATGAGTTAAAAGATAAAAAAAAAAACTTTTAACCCAGGTAGATTTAGGGTTTTGGGTTTTTCTTCCAAAATTCTACTATTTTCAGGTATAAAATTAATTAATGTTTTGGTGCGTTAAGTGTCAGAATCTCATAAATTTTGCATGATAGTTTCAAATAAATAAATTAAATATATCAATAATTATTACCGATTTCAGGAAGTCCATCTCTCAAATCCTAAGTTGAATTGAATACTTGTGCACAAAGGAAGACAAATTGTACATTAATTTTTCAATTAATCATAATCACTCTAGATTAACTAGTTACACTATATTCACGTTGAGATATAATATTTTTGTCTTAGAGAATCCATCTCTTATCTCTCCAACTGAATCAGACCTGTGTGCACGCCAATCAAGATGATTGCAGCATTGCATTCCTTAATTGGGTTTAGGAATCTAATTTCATAGACATGGGATACTGTTGTGACTCCAAGTCCACGGCATCCTGTTCTGAGTTTTCGTAGAGGCTAGTCCTGAATTTTTTTTTTTTTTTGATAATTTAAATAATTCATATTGTAAGGCTCATCAAAAATATCATCTATGTAAAAATTCAAATTAATCAAACATCCGTAGGTCATGATTGGGTCGTAATTATTTTTAAAAAATTATAAAAATAATATTACTCGTTTATTTTTTAAAAAGTAAATATTCTCTTATTATAGAGATTTAGATTTTTAATCAATTTAATTTTTTATATAAATTATTTACTTAGGCACCGTTTGGGAAGCGAAACTGAGGCTATTTTAGCCACGTCCGGACAAATTAGGCTTATTTAGCCACGTCCAGACAAAACAGAAATCAATGTGTTGAGTTCAATCCCTTGTGGGGTAAATTTACCAAAATACCCTGAAAAGAGAAGAAGCTATTCTTGGTATTGTTCCCTCAGCGTGACTTTTGGGGTACTGACCCACTGTCACTATTTTTTGACATGGAAGGATTTTGGGTTTTTTTTTTCCCCTAAAATAATCATAAAAGAATAAAAATAAATTTTTTAGTTCAATAAAATAAAATATTATGTTAAGAGATTGTTTAGGATTTCCTAAATAAGTATACTTTTTATCTTTTTTTATTACAAAATTGAAAAAAAAATATAAATATTTGGGTTAACTTTTTGATTTTTTATGAAAAAATATGTATTAACAAATTGTATAAATTAGTGTGTATGGAAAATTTTTAAAAAAAGAATAACAAAAATACGACTCATCCAAAAAAAACAAAAGTTTTAAATATTTTAATTTTTTTGTTATGTATTTGGTTATTATTTCAGTGTAGACTTCTGAAAGTAGTATGGAGTTTCAAGTTATGTGTTTGGTCATGAGTTTTAAAAATAATTTATTAATTGAGTTTTATTTTATGTGTTTGGTTACGATTTGAGTGTAGAGTTGTTTTTAAATTTAAAATATTAACATTTTAAATTATTTAAATTTTTTGAATATTTAAATTATTAAAATTTTTTTGTTAAAATAATTTTTTGAATATTTAAATTATTTAAATTTTTACGCTTTAAATTTTTTGAATATTTATTTTAAATTTTTGCTTATTAAATTTTTTAGATTATTTACATTATTTAAATATTTAAAATAAAATTACAATTAAAATAAAATTAAAATAAAAATTAAATATTTAAAATTAAATTAAAATTTAAAATAAATGAAACACATAAATAAAAAAAATGTTATTGTATACCAATAAAAATAAATAAGACAGAAAATGTAAATTAAAAAACAAGAACTAATTAATGTATAAAAAAATAAAAATGACAAAAACATAAATTTAAAAAAAATAAAAAAATAAAGCAAAATACGGCAAATCCAAACCCAAAATAAAAAAATTAAAAAAAGAAATATTTTACCAAAATACGCCAAAATAAAACTCAAAATAAAAAAATAAAAAAATTCAAGCAAAATACGCCAAATCCAAACCCAAAATAAAAAAAAATAAAAAAAAAAAGAAGTTAGCAAAAAAAGCCAAATCCAAACCCAAAAAAAAAAAAAAAAAAAAAAACAACAACAACAACAAGGGCACTTTGGTAAATGAACAGGAAGACACCTCACCAAAAAGTCAAAAAGTTTTTCCCAAATCAGGCTTTTTAGTCCCAGGTTAAAATAGTCAAAAAAAAATTAAAAAACCAAAAAAACCAACTCACTTCCCAAACAGAGGCTTAACAAATTTTATAATATAAACCGTTTAGATCATAAAAAAAAAAAAAAAATTCAGAATGGACATCCACCAAACTTACAGCAGGCTGTTGTGACTTGCACAACAACATCCCCATTTCTTAATTCGGCTTTGCTAGAGAGAGCTCTAGGAGAGCTGCTCTAACAGCAGCTCTACTGAGCTGGCACATCCAATAAAAAAAAAAAACAAAGACTGACCCTTCAAAAAAAAAAAAAAAAAAAAACAACCAAAAAAAAAAGAAGTAGACAAATAACTGTTATTTTAGAGTTCTTCTTTTAGAGCTCTAAAACATTTTTTTTCTTAATTTCATTGACATACGGTGCGTTCTCATATAAACCTCGTGTATTGGGCCAGATGGTATGTTTCTCAAAAAGTTATTAGTTGATCTTAGGGCAACAATGTAATTGGTGGAAGAGGCACGTGGCAGTACCTAAGAGTATCAAATAATTTTTCCTTTCTCTCGACACTATGTCAGCTCCAGGACCGGTACACGCAAACTGAGACAACTAAATTGAGACAACGCAAATTGAGACAACGTGGCAGTACCTAAGACTTAGTTTGGCATATATTTTTTGAGTTAAAATAGTAAAAAATAAATAAATAAATAAATAAAATAGATTAAAAAATTAATAAGATAAAATATCACATCTAAATTATAATTATTTTTTTTCCTACAAAAGTCAAAAAATTCAAAAAGTCTATCCCAAACAAAATTTTTTAAGTATAGGTCAAAATAACTAAAAAGTTAAAAAGTTAACCTACATCCCAAACGAAGGCTAAATGTGTTGAAAAATAATTGGAAACTTAAATTATACAAATTAGGAAACTAAAGAGAAATTAAGAAACTTAAATCAATACAAATTAGGAAACAAAAGAGAATATGATATTAAAAATCTAAACTATTTAAAATTCTATGCAAATTTAATTCTAAAATTATAAAAAATAAAAAGGGACAATTATAAAATACAAAATCCAAAGTTTAACTCTTATAATAAAATAAAATTTTAATTTTTAATTTTATCAATTTAAATCCTAAACTTTTAATTTATTTTCAATTTAAATTATTTTTCTATTTTTGTTAAGTAAAATTGATTAAAAAAAATAAAAAAAAATTACATTTTAGTCATTGAATTGATATTTTGGACATTTTATGTATACCTACATTGAATTTAATGACTATAATATTATTTTTCAATTGGTTTTTACTTAATGAAAAAAGGTGAATGGTTTAAATTAAAAATGAATCAAAATATTAGCGTTTAAATTGACAAAATTGAAAATTCATGATTTATTTTGTTAAAAGACTCAAAGCTTGGAGTTTTTTTTTTTTAGTTTTTTTATTTATAATTGTCCCCAACAAAAACATAAAAATATATATATATATATATATAATTCTTGTTCTACATTAATTACTCAATAAAAAATAAAAATAATAATTAGGTTAATTCAATAATCGTAGCATTATAAAATGAACAATTTAAATTATCAAACGGGACACATGATAAACATCACGGGCATAAATAACAGTCTCAAATTTAAATTATGGACTGGAGAATGTGTAATGTATTGTAAGTTAAAAGTTGATAATTCAAAAAGTATAAGTCAAAAAATATCCGCTGACATCTTTCAAATAATCAATTATTTTTAATTTATTTAAATTATTTTTACTTAATAAATTACGCTTTACCAAATCCCTAATCTACCGAAACCCAAAACCCAAGTCCACCCATGCCCGAACCCCAACCCAAATTTTTTTTTTTTTTTTGAAAATTAGAAAAAAAAATTCTGAATTTGAAACTTATGATGAAATAAATTCTAAATTTTTAATTTTATCAATTTAAACTCTAAACTTTTGATTTATTTTTAATCTAAACTATTTGTTTATTTTCATTAAATAAAATTGATAAAAAAAAATATATGTGTTTTAGTCATTAAATTTAATAAAAATATATATTAGACAATTTATAAAAATCTATATTGAGTTTGAAGATTAAAATATTTTTTTTCATCGATTTTACTTAATACAAATAGATGAATAATTTAAATTAAGAAAATAAATTAAAATATTGTAATTTAAATTGATAAAATTAAAAATCCAAGATTTATTTTGTTATTTTGATTTTTGTTTTTGGAAAGAAACCCCAACCCCAACCCCAACCTAAAACCTCTTGGTGCAACTCTCTCTCTCTCTCTCTCTCTCTGTGTAAATCTTCTTCCTTATATCCACCACTGTGATAAGTTTTCCCTACGTCAACCATAGCGATTTGCTTCCCCAAAGCCCTCACCAGTGGCCATAGATTCTCGTCCACCAGTGGCCATAGATTCTCGTCGCTGAGAAGCTCCGACAGCCGTAACAGCTTCCCTTTCTTTTAATCGTTTCTTCCTTTAACGATTTCGACTCCGACAGCCCAATCTACTCAGGTATGTATTATGCATCCTGTGTTTCTGTGTAAAAGTTTAATCTTTTATAAAAATCAAGTCTTTTAGAATTAATTCTGCTCTGCGTTAATGATGTCTTCAACTTTAATTCGTTTCTTAGATGGCATCATCATCATCGTCTCGGCGGTCGATAGATATGGGGAGAAGGAACAGAGGAGGACCGGTTATCGTGAGATGTACAGAAAATCCACAGCCTCCTATATATGACAAATATTTCTGTTTATCCGCCGCTGAGTTTGACGATTCTTACAACATCAAAGAATGGTACATGCTCAATCTATCTAGCAATAATAATAATGAGAAAGAGAGAAAGGAGATGAGCGGAAAAAGATTTGTTCAAAACTTTCCGACTCCTGAACTGCGAGCAGCTCGTCTTGCTGTCAATCACGATGAGCGGCATAGAGGAGAAAATCCAGCGACTCTACCTCTCATCGCTCAGTTGGAGAATGGTAAAGCCGACCGTGAATATGGTACCTGCTCAGCCATGGTAGGGTCTAGAATATATAGGTTTGGGGGGAGTCACACTGATGAAGACGGTCGTGGCTTTCACAACTCTCGCCTTGTAATTTATTTTGATATTAATCATCCAGAGAAGGGTTGGAAGAAAGGTCCTCGCACTATCTGTGGCCGAGAAGATGCTGCTGTGGTGGTGGTTGATGGGAAAATTTTTGTCTTCGGTGGCAACGAAAGTAACATTCCCGGTCTTTGTTGCGAATTTTTAAACGCCAATTTAGAAGAAGAAGAAGAAGAAGAAGGAGGAGGAGGAGGAGGCAACAGAAAAAGAAAAGGGAAGCGTAAGTGGAGTCCTTTGAAACATGATGATGTGCCAATATCTAAGTGAAACTTCTGACTATACCCATGCAATGAACATGACCCTAACACATCTTGCTGATGATGTGTTTTGCATTGTCTGGCTCGACAATGAGAGTCTTCTTCTTCATTGCACTGTAGTTCGAATTTCTACAACAATCGGTGTATCTGTCTTGTGCTGCCATTCTTATGGGTTCCATCAACCTACTTCTGTAAATTCTCAGCAAATTACTCAGTAAGATCCTAGTAATTTTCCAATAATTTTCCAGTAAATTACTCAGTAACATCCTAGTAATTTTTCATTAAATTACTTAATAATTTTCCATTAAATTCTCAATAAATTACTCAGTAAATTGCCATTAAATTCTCAGAAAATTACTCAGTAAATTCTAAGTAAATTACTTAGTAAATTACAAATAAATTCCTAGCAAATTCTAATTAAATTACTCAGTAAATTTCCTGTAAATTCTCAGCAAATTACTCAGTAAGATCCTAGTAATTTTCCAATAATTTTCCAGTAAATTACTCAGTAACATCCTAGTAATTTTTCATTAAATTACTCAATAATTTTCCATTAAATTCTCAATAAATTACTCAGTAAATTGCCATTAAATTCTCAGAAAATTACTCAGTAAATTCCCCGTAAATTCTAGGTAAATTACTCAGTAAATTCTAAGTAAATTACTTAGTAAATTACAAATAAATTCCTAGTAAATTCTAATTAAATTACTCAGTAAATTTCCTGTAAATTCTCAGCAAATTACTCAGTAAGATCCTAGTAATTTTCCAATAATTTTCCAGTAAATTACTCAGTAACATCCTAGTAATTTTTCATTAAATTACTTAATAATTTTCCATTAAATTCTCAATAAATTACTCAGTAAATTGCCATTAAATTCTCAGAAAATTACTCAGTAAATTCTAAGTAAATTCTAGGTAAATTAATTACTAAATTCTAAGTAAATTCCTAGGAAATTGCCTAGTAAGTAAATTCTAAGTAAAACACTCAGTAAAGTCCCTATAAATTGCTTAGTAAATTCCCAGTAAATTACTCGTTAAATTCTCAGTAAATTCCCAGTAAATTACTTAGTAAATCCAAGTAAATTCTCATTAAATTACTCAGTAAATTTCCAGTAAATTCTATGTAAATTCTCAATAAATTACACAGTAAATTTCCAGTAAATTCTCAGTAAATTACTTAGAAAAATCCCACTAAATTCTCAATAAATTACTCAGTAAATTGCCAGTAAACTCTCAGCACATTTCTTAGTAAAATCCTAGAAAATTCTCGGTAAATTACTCAGTAAATTCTCAGAAAAATACTTAATAAATTCCCAGGAAATTATTCAGTAAATTTCCAGTAAATTTCAGTAAATTACTCATTAAATTCTCAGCAAATTACTCAGTAAATGTCACGACCCCATTCCGCCCCTAGTAGAATGGTGCCATGATGGCCAGTAATCCGAGATTACTAAAGGCCAGCTTACAAGGTCACACACAATTAGAGTATACATATGAGGCTTACATGTGCGGAAGCAATAATTTAAATCTAATTGGTCCATAAGAGTTGTGCATAGATTAAATGAAATGACATACATCTTAACATGGTCTTACAACTTGAATACAAATAAAATAAAGTACATATTACATCTTGATCAAAAGGCTTCTCAAGCCGACATATACGAAAGAATAAACTACAAGCCAAGAAGCATAATCTTCAAGATGCTAACAAAACTTGAATCTAAAAACATCTTGCAAACAATCATCTAGGCGTCACTGCCTTCTTGCTCGTCACCTACATATATATAAGGAGAGGGTGAGCTTGGATACTCAGTGAATGATATTAATAATAAAGGTTTGCAAGAATGATACTCAAGATCTCTTTTCAAAACAATACATAGCATATCTTGTACAAAATCAAGGGATGAACCAAGTTCATCTATCAAATCTTTCAAAGCTTCAAGGGATGCTTACTAGCATCAATATAATACGAGATATGACATTCCTGACAAAACAATGGAATAATCAACCCGGAATCGATTAGACAAACCCACCCGCACAAGGCCGTCGGTGGCAAGGGAGATATCTCAAACAAGGGTACTAGTTGCATTATAGTCCCCTAGCACTAAGGACTTCCAAAAACAAGGTTACTAGTTGCATTATAGTCCCCCAGCACTAAAGACTTTCCAAGAATGTCATCAAAACAAGATAGTACTTGATACAAAACTAGGAATAATCATTCATACTTGAGCCAACACTTTTCCAAAACGAAGTAAACAAAGCTTTTATCAAAACGTTAGAACATAGCGTTATTAAAAATATCACTCACATAGCTCTTCGGCTGTAGGGATTAAAGCAAGGATCCAAGACCTACAAGCATATAATAATTCTCATTGAATGCACTCCAAGAAGACAAGAAGAGATGCTTAAAGGTGGATATGAAATTCATTCCTAAGACAAGCTTTACATGAGTGCAAATGATCTCGGCATTTCTTTCAAAACTAAGTCAAGCCAAAGCAAAGCACGTGCTGGGAGTTAAAACACTGTTTCTCATCTCGAAAAACACACTGGGTACCAACCAGGTCTTGGCCGAGGTCCCACACCTCTTAGCCGAGGTGTGGTCCCGATGGCCACATTCAGGAAAAAATGAAGTCGGGAAAACTTGGGTTTCCCTCTTGATGAATATGAATGCTAAAATCATCACTTCTTCATTCAAAATCTGAAATTTAGTGAGATGAGTTCGAAAACATGGACCTGGGTACCCATACTTGAAGATCTTAAGAAAACAAACACAAAACGTGGATCTTGATACAAACTTTCGGATCAAAACATGGTTTTTCTTCAAGAATACATGAACATCATTTTCTCTTTCTAAAACAACTTTAAATCAATGCATGGCTCATGAATCATGCAAGATCATGCAATGCGGTTAGACGAACATAAGGAACAACAGGAGCAGTGTAACACCCTCAAAATAACAACATTAAACCCATCAAATAAGACATATGAAATAACCACATTCTTTTATTTATCAGAGTTTTATTACAAAAGTATTACATGTTAACAACAAAAGCAAATGCCCTATGGGCTTACAGCTTTCCAAGTCAACACTTGGTTACAACAAAAGAGTACTAACTCATACACATTAAGCCCTTGGCTTGAATTTACATGTAATACATCAAAAGTAAACGACACAAGTGTGCCCGCCTCTAGCCTCCCAAGCTAGGTCCCTGGAGGTGGCATGCTACCTGTACCTGAAAATGATATTCCCATATAGGGTGAGCCACAGCCCAGTAGAAATACACTAAACCAACCATGAACAATGACTAAAACATTAGCAATTGATAGATGGCCAACACTGATACATTTACATAAATCACATATTTATGTCATACGACTTATGAGTCCAAGCTACTTTTCATTTTCCCTTTTTCAACAAATAAGCATGTTAGCTCTATCATTATTTCAACAGATATGTATAATAACTATATCACACATTCACAGATAAGCATAGGAGCTATATCCACATTTCACAAAGATAAGCATATAAGCTCTATCTTCACTTCTCTAGACAAGCATATGAGCTGTATCCACGGAGTTCATCCCCTATCTTCTCCCAATACTATCCGGTTTAGAGGTACATCCCCCATCTTCCCCTAAACCGCGGAGTACATCCCCCATCTCCTCCTCTACACATAACGTATACAAACACATTGGTTCTATATACAATCATTCAATACATACAGTTAATGTATTTATCAACCGTCAAGTTCCATGACACATTCCATTGATTAGTTTTAGTTTACCTAATCATCATGCATTGTCTACAACAATCACGACTATCCTCCACCGATAGCCCAAAGCAGTTATCTCTAAACAGAAAATAAATGCACAATGGATATTTAATCAACATTTCATTCCGGTGAGTGACAAATAATTCAACTACACCCTTTAACCCTTTACATTCCCAATCTCAACATTTCCATCTCATTTCTCTATGCTAAACATGCATCTAGGTTTATTATAAATAAAACCCCAACTTTTGTAAAATAGCACAAAAGCCCCGAACTTTCACAAACTTACCAAACCAACCCCAACATCTCAAAATACTAAAATTTAAAGACAAAATCCATAGAGAGGAGTAGGGTATCCCTACCTCAAATTCGGAGCCCCAAGGGAGAAGATGACGAAACCCAACTCGCTCCAAATCCCGAAATTTTCAGATTAAAAAGTAGCCCTCGACGATCAACAACTTTTTTGTAAAGGCCAAAGATGAGCAAATCATTCCTACTAGATCAAAACCTAGAGAGAAGGTAGAGTTCTAGAGTGAGAGGCTCAACAATGGTGTTTTTGGAAAAGTAGGAGAGAGAAGAGAAAGTGAAAAAGTGATTTGAAAAGTCAAAATACGGAGCTTTAACCCAGTCGCCCCGCTCGAGCGTCAAACACCCCGCTCGAGCGTCACTCACAGACTCCCGCTCGAGCGTCAATAATCCCGCTCGAGCGGCGGATACACACTCCCAGAACTTTTACAGAACCAGGCCTCCGCTCGAGCGTCAACTCTCCCGCTCGAGCGTCATACACAGAACCCCGCTCGAGCGGCCAATCCCACGCTCGAGCTTCCAACCCTGCACAGAAAATACTAGATGGGTGCAATTCCCGCTCGAGCGCCAAAAGCCCCGCTCGAGCGGACAGGTCAAAATCTGGACAATTAATTTTGGTTTCTAAACTCAACCAACCTGTAACAAACCTGCCCAACACATCCTATAACTCAAATACAAAGTAAGCAAGGATGTACACCAGGTAATAACCAACTACTATCATCCACGGACACATGTCCGGATCACTGTACAACAAGGGTAAACCCGGGATCGCTATAAGCAGATCAAGAATCTAACCTCAAAACACGAATCAAACGGTTTAAACTCTAAGGATCAAGCTTGGAAATTTACCTCTCTCTCAAGAACTCCTTTCTCCTCTTCCTAGAGCTTCTCTCTCTACAAAGCAAAGATATGACCAAATGATGTGGGTTTC